TACTCTAAAGGGCCCCTTTGGCAGTAGGAAACACATAGACTATTATGGAGATTGATTTTGGAATTTAGATGCACTCTTATTGATTGTGTTTGGCCGTACATGTTCATATCCTTGATATCTTCATACACATACTTTGATTCTGACCAGCTTTATAAACACCATAATCTACTGTGATCTGTACACAGGTTTTTAAAAAAAAATTTTGTTTTGTTTTCTACCCTTTAAAAGATTGGGGTAAATATATAGACAACCAAACTTCAGTAAACCTCACTTGTACAGTTCAGAGTTGTTATATATGTTCATTGTACTTGTACAATCAGCATCATTATCTATTTTCAGTCAGAGGTTGGATTTACTGTTTATAAACCGGCTGTCTTTTGTAGTTAACTTTAAGCTGTAGTGACTGGTGGATCGAGTTCCTGCCCAAGAGAGCACAGGGTCTCCCAGACTCTTAGAAAATCTTATTAAAGTTAATACCTCATTGACAGCTCTCAGATCCATCACCCTTCAGTGGACCCTGTGCTGTGGGATCTACTTGCTGTTCCTGTGCTGCCGTACTGACCACCTTTGGTGTCTGGAAAGAGTAGATGGATCATGCACATATTGTTGTTGTTCTTGTTGTTGAATACTGTCAAGTTGGAACCAACCCATAGCTGACCCTCCAGCAGGTCTTCAGAGGCAGTAAATCATATGGAAGGAGATTGCTCATGTTTCTCTTGTGAACCAGCTGGTGGATTCAAACTTCATAACCTCCAAATTGCAGCACAATATATTAACACTAGGCAACCAAGTGTTCCTACTATCCAAAGTAGAGTCCTAAATTATAATTTTATTGGATGAGAGACATTTTTGTTAAATAAGTATTCTCTTGTGAAGTAAGTTTCTGCAGCAGGGGAAAGTTGAGGAAAAGAAATGACTGTGCTATTTTGCATGTGAAGTTTGAGAACAGTGGCATGGTTATTTGTATTTGGGATGGTAAGGACACATTGGGATGCCTACCTCTGCCTGTCTCCCTTCGGCTCATTCATGGTCCCATAGAGTAGCCTGCAGTTCTGTTCCCTTTTCACCAATATGGGAATTTGGCAAATCTGAATTTTCATTTGGGGTTCACAGCACCTGCTTTTCATTCTTTAAGTTTCTGGGGAAAGAATGAGAGTGGAAGGCATGTGGAATTGGCCCTTAGGTACTCAGTAGGACAACGACTTTAGGGAGGAAATGGTGCTATATGTATTTTAAGAGTCCCTGGTTTCTCGAATAGTTAATGTGCTCACCTGCTATCTAGAAGTTTGGAAGTTTGAGTTCACCCAGTGATGCCCTAGAAAAAAGGCCTGGTAGTCTGCTTCTGAAAACTCAGCCATGGAAAATCTTTTTGGAGAATAGTTCTGCTGTGACATAAGTGGAGTCACGCTGAATGGAAGTTGGCTCACTAGCAACTGAAAGATTTTATGAGGAGCAAATGATGGCTAATAGGAAAAGATGATAATCTTAATTTGTGAAGACTTGTTGGAGATGAGGTCATTTAAACAAATGGCCTTTAAAAAAATCAGTATATTCCAGCGTGCTTGGGTCTGAAGTGATCCTGTGCATTCCTATAGTGCTTGCAAGAGCAGTGTTGAAATGGTTTGAGGCTTTGCTCTACACCATCCATGGAGCAAGGTTATAGAAATTTCAGACAATTGGGAAAAAAAAAAAATCAGTATTTTGGATGAGAATATCCATGCAAGTCCCTTAGCTACAACTCACAATAAGATAATACCCCAGTATGTTGTCTATGTGATACCAGCTGATAGTCCCTGAACCAGCTCTGGGAGGCCTTTGGTAGGAATTGTCTTTGAAAAGAATTTGGGCAGAGGCTTCTCATTAATTCTTTGTTCTCTTGTGTCCTGACAGGCACTGGCGATGGCGGAGGATGGGAGTGAAGAGATCATGTTCATTTGTAAGTCCTAGAATAAAGCTGTATGCCTTGGCTCTCTTCAGAGCTATGCTCAAATTTTGTTCATATAATACAGGAAAGCTATAACCTCTTTTCTTTTTAAAAGCTAAAACGATTTCTGCTTGCTAAAAAAAAAAGATTTATTACACGAGAACTGGGCTATAGGAGTGTAACTTTGACGGAATAATTTTTCTCAGAACTCTTGGCCAAGGACACTTTCTTGGGGACGAGCCATTGCTTCAGAGAAGTAAACCTAGCATTTGAAAAGAGGGTGTTGAGTTAGATTTATGACAGCAGATTGGCACTAATGGATTTTCACTTCCCTCTTTCCTGGGGGAAGATCTTGTTCCCCACTGTTGCCATTCATAATACCATATATAGCATTCACAAATGTGCCAAAGTCCTTTAGCTGGTGTTCCTCTTCAGGGAAAAGGTCCTGTTTATTTGGACCCCTGGAGGAATAGCTTTCCTGACACATGTCTCTACCAGCTGAGCCTTCCATGGTCTTGATGTGTGACTGTGTTCCAGCCACTGATCATCTCTATCCGCCTTGCATTTCCCTTGTGGCATTTGGTGTTCTGGGCTATGTTCCCCCCACAGTACTCTGATGTCTGTTTTCAGGGTGTGAAGACTGTAGCCAGTACCATGATTCCGAATGTCCTGAGTTGGGCCCAGTGGTTATGGTCAAGGACTCCTTTGTCTTAAGCCGAGCAAGGTGAGTGGTGGCTGTGACCAATGTATTGTACCTCCGATCTCTAAAGACACAAGTTTTTTAGTTTTTATTTTATGTTAGCTAAAATGAAAACCTGGTGGCCTTTCTGTCTGCAGAAGAGCAGAACGAGCTGAAGAATCTGAGTGGAAAATACCTGTCATAAGCTTCCAACTGGTGTTAGTGGTTTCCATCGCCCTGTGCAGTAAGCCTCTTTGGTTTTGATGGTCTAGGCTGTATGTTATGAAACAGTTATTTCACAGTGGTTAAAGATCAGGTGTGGACCATTCAGTTGTTTTTATTTCACTCACAACTGTGTTAGCTGACTGGATTTGCTTGATTTGGCTAATAACAAGCTGTTGGCCAGAAGTCTCTTGTTTAAGAGCCAATCAGGGCCTGGGGCACAGGCCTGGATATTGAAAAATAAGTTGGGCCAGAGGGCCACAGGCCCTCAAGCCTGGTTTTAATTGTGTTTAGAGTGAACATTCTTCTAAATGGTACAGCACTGGTCTGTCAATTTGCTCTACTGAGGTAACTTGGGGTTGCTGTGATACTAAACACTGTGCCACTGGTGTGTCAAATGCCATAATGGTCACCTATGGTGGACAGTGTTTGGTGGAGCTCCCAGATTAAGACAGGCTTAGAAGCAGGAGGGGCAGCCACTTCCTAAACAATATGCCTCCAGAAACTATGAATTTAGAGAAACGATAATAGTTATAGAACAAGATTCAGGTCTTTTGTTCATAGGGTTGCTATGCGTTGTGCTCAACTCGTCAGCACTTAACAACAACCCCACAAACAACATCTAGTACTACCTAGATGAACAAGCCCTGTCCCATCTTCTTCATGCTCTGACCAACTGGCTAAGGCACGCCATGGACAAAGTGAGTTGAAGCAAGCTCCTGGATCTCCGTGTAGGTACCAATGAGAGCCATTGCTGCTCCCGGGGAAATATCTGCAGAGGTAGTAATGGGCACTTATGGACTGGTCTGGTCTCTTCAGGTGGTTGTGCCATTTTATACCTTCTGGCTGGTGTTTTGCCTCAGGGAGGAGGGGCTTAGGTGATAGTCCAGACCTGCCCCTTGGCTGGAGTTGAAGCAATTCCCCACTTTGAATCTTAGTTGCCTCATTGTAAACTGGGAAATGTAATGATACCCTTGTAAAGTTGTAGTGACTGTTTTATGTGATTGTTGCTAACAGATTGCTGTGGTGTATACGAACTCTGTATAGCTCATGGGAACCCCATGTATGTCAGAGTAGAATGTCTGCAATTTTTAAGCTTCTGACTTTTGGAAGCAGAATACCAGGACCATTTTTCAAGGCACTTCTTAGTGAATTCAAACTTCCAATTTTTTTAGCTGATAATAAAGCATACTTAACTATTCTTTCCCATCCAAGTATTAGTTATATGTGATCATGCTTGATATATGTAAAATGTGAAAAGATTAATGGAGACCCAAGGTAGTGCAAACTGTTAATGTGCTCAATTACTAGCCAAAAGTTGGAAATTCAGGTACAACCAAAGGTGTGTTGGAAAAGAGGTCTGACAATCTAACTCCAAAGGATCAGCCATTGCAACTCTGATGTAGCTGTGATCAAATGATTTTTAAGAAGGATGTCAAGTCCTATCAATGAGGAAAGAAGAATATTTTCAATGAGTAATACTTGGAAGATTTTATTTTCACATGCAGAAAAATATAACAGGATCTATACCATATACCATACATCATACACAAAAAACAAATTTAAAATAGTTTAAGGACTTACATGTGCACATTTAACCCATAAAATTCTTAGAAGAATAAGTCAGAGTCTCAACAGCGGATTATCTAATAACAAAAATACAAACTGCAAAAGATAAAATCCATAAATGACACCTCATGTAACTTTAAAACATTTGTTCTTCAAAAGACTTTACCAAAAAACCAAAGAGAGAAGGAGAAAGTCTTTGGAAACCACATATCCAACAATGATCTCATAATACACACACACACACACACACCCCACACACACAAGTTAACAACAAAAAGACAAATTGCTCAGTCATAAAATGGGCAAAGGACTTGAACAGACCTTTCACTAAAGAGGAGAATGAAGTGGTTAATAAACATGTGGCTTTGTTGCTCAGCATCATGAATTGTCAGAGAAATGCAAATCAAAACCACCGTAAGAGACCATTTACACTCCCACTAGCAAGATTAGGGGAAAGTTGGAACCCTTGTCATTATTGTGAAAGATAGAATGGTGGTTCCTCCAAACACTAAAAAGAAAATCACTGTATGACCTGGTATCTCCACTCTTAATACCCAGAAACTTGAAGCAGAGACCCAGTGTTCACGGTTAAAGCAACACTCAAGCTCCCACTGACAGATGGGTGCTGTCTGTGCATAAAGTGCATTGACCAGAAATTGAACTCAGGTCTCCTACATGAAGATGAGGAGTCCACCGCTGAGCTACCACTTACTAGGGAAGTTTTTATTTTATCTTCTTTAGTGATTTCATTTTGACTTTCCGTAGATACTAGGAGTAGTCTTTGGAGTTACATGGTCTGATGCCAAGATGTGAGTGAGAGACCACCCCTTGCCTCAGGTCTAAGGAACCATGAACCTGTCACTCGTTTCCATGCCTAGATCATCCCTTCCTTCCAACTTGGAGATCAGACGGCTGGAGGATGGAACTGAGGGAGTGTTTGCTGTAACGCAGCTTGTCAAGCGAACCCAGTTTGGTCCATTTGAATCAAGGAGAGTTGCCAAATGGGAGAAAGAATCTGCATTTCCACTGAAGGTAAATACTGATGCCAACATGAGCATAAGGACCCTAGTGATTTTTTTGTTCGTTTTTGCTTTTATTGTAGTGAATATATACATAATCAAACGTGCACTAATTCAGTAATTTCTACATGTATAGTTCCATTACATTGATTGCATTCATCATATGCAAATATTCTTGCTATCCTTTTTCAAATTATCCCACCACCATTAATAAAAACAGGAATCACTGTGATCAGGGCACTGTGATCAAGGCGCTGGGCAGATAACTGAAAGATTGGCAGTTCGGACCCACCAGCCATCCTGCAGAAGAAAGCTGAGGCAGTCTGCCTCTGTAAATACCCCAGGCTTGGAAATCCTGTGGGTAACTAAGTATTGATTAGAAAGCAAAAGCTTTTAGTAACATAAGCCTGGTGAATCCCCTCACCCTTTTCTGCATGAATTCTGAAGGGTACTGTGTTTCAAGAAATGTTTTGACAATGGTCCTAAATATTGTAGTTTTACTTAACTCCCAAGAAAATGTTTCATTATTTTTAGCTTAATTTTTATGCAATGAAACAATCAGTGTTAACTTGATGGGTTTTTTTTTTAACTCGATGTTTTGTAATGTTTAACATTATAAATTTTTTTAAAAGAAGAATTTAAAATATGTATAAGAGAATTAGGTCACATATGTGGATTTTGGATTTCTCACAGTTGATGTGGAGACTGTAGGCTGCATGAGGTGTTGATTTTCGTAGTTTTTTGGAGGAGTGAATCATCATGATTACTTTCACATCCCTTGTGGTATATGATTCTTTTAAAAACTCCCTCTAAATGAAGGTGTTTTGCAAAGGGAAGATAATCTAGTGATAGTACAAAGTTTTGCAGCTCTAAAGAGCACTCCATGGTTAGAATTGACAGCTTTCTAGTTTTATGATTGGGGAAAAACTAAATGTATATAAACTTCAACATGCCCTTAGCTCTCATTATCAGCTGGAATGTATGTATAACTGACTTTCCAGTCGGTTTTCAGAGGCTATAAGTTGCATGGGAGATTTTTCCATCTTTCTCCTAGGGAGCCACTGGGGGATTCAAACCACCACCTTTGGGTCTAACTTGCAACTCCCTATGCACCATGCCACCAGAGCTCTCCTGGGTAACCTAAAATAAGAATCTGGAGGCTCTGTGAAGACTTGTGGGGCAGTATTTACTTAATAGCAAAGCTAAACCATGACTAAGGATGATAGAAGAATTGATGCCTTTGAGCTGTGGTGCTGGAGAAGAGTATTGAATATACCAAGGTGCTAGGAGAACAAACAGGTTCATCCCGGAGAGGGTGAAACCAGGCTGCTCCTTGGAGACAAGGATTCTGAAGTTTCATCTGACATTTGTTGGGAATGTTGCAAGGAAGGACCAGACCTTATAGAGGGGTATTATGCTTGGGAGGGTAGAGGGACAGTGCAAGATACGAAGACCCTTAATGAGATGGATTGACTCCATGACTGGGGTAATGGGGGTAGTGTGTCAGAGAAAAGAATATTGGCTTAGGATAGAGCAGGCTTCAGAGCTGTTATACTTAGGGTTGCTATGAGTCTTAGGCAACTTGATGGCAGATAACAACAACAACAGCACATCCCCCTCTATTCCAACTCATGGTGCCCTAGGTCTTTCAGAGTGAAACCGTGCTTCATGAGGATTTCAAAGATTATGGTCTTTTGGAAGCAGATAACCAGGCAGTTCTTCTGAGGAGCCTCTGAGTAGATATGAACTGACAACTCCTTAGTATATAGCCAGGTGCTAAGCCCAGCAAAGCCACACCCCTACACTGTCTTAGGGTCTTCGGGAGTCAAGTTTCAGGGGATAGGAGAAATATCTTCCTACAGTAAGGAAGCAGTAATTACATCAGAAAAAAGGGAAGGAATTACATTAGGGGAAAAAAACCCCTATCGTCATTATCAGGTTCCTGTGAATTTCAAAATATTTGAGTGCTTCTTTCTGCTCCATGTCTGCTTGAATCTATAAAGCAGTAATTCTATAATATAGGTGAGTATACAGCAGCAGACCTGGGCTAAGTCATCCAGCACACTTGTAATAAACCAGGGGTAGGATTCTGGGGTCCTGATGCCCACCTGGACCAGAAGTAGAATTCAGGTGTCTGGGTACCTACGTAGCCCAGCAATAGAATTCAGGTGTCCAGATTTGGACCAGTGACTTTTTGTCCTGTCTACTGCTTCCTCCTTGATCATAACCATAGTGACCCATCTAATGGTCTCCCAGTGATCTTTTTAGTTGTTACTGGAGACACTGACAAGCCCCCATACACAGGGTGGCGTGGACCCTGCTATGGTACCATCCGGATGGTTCCCTAGCACTCCTGATACAGACGCACAGATTGGTTGGTAACCAGCTCTCCTTGGCCCCCTCGTGGCTGTGCTCACCCCTCAGGTGTTCCAGAAGGATGGGCACCCTGTCTGCTTTGACACCTCCAACGAGGACGACTGCAACTGGATGATGCTGGTGCGGCCAGCGGTGGAGCATGAGCACCAGAACCTGACTGCCTACCAGCAGGACAGCGACGTGTACTTCACCACCTCCCGGGACATCCCGCCCGGCACTGAGCTTCGGGTCTGGTATGCCGCCTTCTATGCCAAGAAGATGGATAAGCCAATGCTGAAGCAGGCCTGCACCGGCACCCATGGTATGTGGTTCACGCTGACCCTCTCCTCTGTCCGTCACCAGCCTTTCCTCAAGAGACATCAGTACAATAAGCTGTGCTGGTGAACTGACTGTGGTGGGAGAGTGGAGGGTTTGTATGATGTCACGGTTGGGTCTGCTGCTCTGCTTTTAAAATGTCTGGTAGGTTGACAATTAGAAGAGCTCACCCCTAAGCCATGAGCTTGCTGGTAGAGAGTTGAGTCTCCCATCTCCACCACTGTTGGGATGCTCGGACACAGTGCATGTCAACGTTGAGAGAGGAGTGCATTCATGGCTTTCCATTCAGAAAGTCTTCCTCGTTCTGTGAGCTGAGGTCTTATCCTTGTTTTAATAATGGCAAATGCCATGGTCTCTATGCTTTAGCTTCCTATTATTAAAACAAGTATAAGACCTCAGCTCACAGGACGAGGAAGACTTTCTGAATGGAAAGCCATGGATGCACTCCTGTCTCAATGTTGCCATGCACTGTGTCCAAGCTTTACAATCACTTGCTATGCATCAGAGAGCTGGACAACGACTAGGGATGATCAGCGAAGGAGAGTTGATGCCTTTGAGCTGTGGTGTTGGAGAAGAATATCGACTATACCATGGACTGCTAAGAGAACAAACAGATTCACCCTGGAGAGGGTTAAACTGGGCGGCTCTTTGGAGGCAAGGATTCTGAAGCTTCGTCTGACACGCTTTGGACATGTTGCAAGGAGGGAACAGTCCTTGGAGAAGGATGTCATGCTTGGGAGAGTGGAGGGACAACGCAGGAGAGGAAGGCCCTTGATGAGATGGGTTGATTCAGTGATTGGGGTAATGAGGGTGGGTGTGTCAGAGATGGTGAGATTGGTATAGAATAGGGCAGAGTTTAGGGCTGTTGTATATAAGATTGCTATGAGTCACAGGCAGATCAACAGCACATAACAACAACAACAACAAAACGCAGAGAGATTGTATTCGTATCTAAGAGCTGCCATTATACAGTACTGCAAACTGGTTGACTGATAAGACCATAAGTGTATATATAATTCTCAGAGTTGTGAAAAGCCCTCATTCAGGGTTTTGTGAGTCAGGGCCATGCTGTCTTGGAGACTATAGGATAGGGTCCTCCTTTGTATCTGGCAGACTCTGGTGGACACAGTGCATATTAGCTTATAGACACATTGTTCTCCTCAGCTGCCATCTTCATGTGGTTTACTTTTCTGTGTCCTCTGTCTTCTTAGAAAAACACCAGACACTGGGATTAGGCCCACCTTTATGTCCAGGATAATCTCATTTCAAGACACTTGATGAGTTATGTCTATAAGGACACTATTTCTAAATAAGTCATAGTCACTGGGACCAGAGACTTTGGGGGCAGGACATAGTTCAGCCCACTCCAGAATTTAGTAACTTGCCCAGGGTCTTGCTGGAGAGATGGGAGAGTGAGCATTTGAACCCATGGTCTGACTCATTACTGGTGTCTTTCAGCTTTGCAGCAGTTGTGTCCCGGTTATGGATGTATGTTTTTGTGTATATGTGTCCACCTGTGTGCTGGAACACAGGGCTTTAAGAAACATCCTACTGAGTGATTTGCCCAGATTCGGCATGCCTTTAAAAAGAAATTTAAATTCTTGCCCTTCTAACTGGCATCTGGTACATCACTTTTGTCACTGAAGTAAGGCCAATAACTTTAAATTCTTGCGTGTGGTCTTTTTACGGAGCTCTGGGGACATAGTCCATAGAGTTAGTTGAACTGATAACCCAACAGTGATGCCTCTTTGCTGATTTGAATCCACCAGCAGCTCCTCAGGAGAAAGATGGACAATCTCCTCCCATGCAGTTCACTGCTTCCCCACTGGCCAGCAGTGAGAGTTGAGAGAAACTGGTCTCTTTGGTGTAAATCCTCCATACCACTTAAAGACCTATGTGAAGTTGCTGCTATTTACATCATTTGGTATATAAAACAGCGATTTGATAAGAAAACCCCTCTCATTGCCTTTAAGTCAGGACTGACTCATAGCTGACCTCCGACTGGCTGTTGGAGGCTGTAAATTGCATGAGAGGAGATTGCTCATCTTTCTCCCTCAGAGCCACTGGCGTATTCACACCATCAGCCCTTTGGGTTAACATTGCAATTCCTTACCCATTATGCCCGAGCTCCCTGAGCTGTGGGAAGTTCTCAATGAACTGGGTATGAGAGTCACAGGACTGCTGTAAAGAAAGCCTTACACATTGGACAACAGAAAGCTGTTATCTCACAGTTCTGAAGGCCACAAGTCTGAAATCAAGGTGCTGTCTCTGGAGGTTGTAGGGGAGAATCTTTCCTAACTGTTCCCTTAACTTCTAGTGAATGCCAGTAATCCTCAGCACTCACTCCACTTCTTATGGATCATGGCTGCTGTCTTTACATCTCTGTGTCCTCTCCTTACAAGGACACATATCACTGGATTAGAGTTCAACCTTAACAAATTACATCTGCAAAGACCCTGTTTCTTGCATAAGTTCACGTTACGAAGTTCTCTGTTCATTTGCTTCTTCTGAATGTTAGGTGGTGATTGTTGTTACATATTGTTAAGTTGGAACTGAGTAATAACTGACCCAGCAGGCTTTCTGAGACAATCAGTCACACAGGATGAGACTGCCCATCTTTCTCCCACAGAGCAACTGGTGGATTTGAACTGTCTGTCTCTAGGTTGATAGCACAACTCCTTACCACTGTATCACCAGAGACCCGTGGACAGTTTACATTAAGTGCACTCATACAATTGTCCTTTTGTGTCTAACTTATTTCACTCAGCATAATGTTTTCAAGCTTCTTCCATGTATCAAATTTCTAACCCATATCAAAACTTTATTTCCATTTATGGCTGAATAACAGCCATTATTCAGAGGGGGCTCTGGTGACAGAATCCATAGGGAGCTGCACTGTGGACCTCTCTAGTCATTCAAATCGATCAGTCCCTTTGTGGGAGAAATCTCCTGTGCTATTTCCAGCCTCTGAAAACTCACTAGAGGGTCAGCTATGAGTAGGTTCTGATTTGAAGGCTATGAGTTTAGTTTAGATGACTGTTCTATTATATGTAGATAACTGTAAAAAACTCTTTAAAAACTGCAGAATGGGAACTACAGACCTCCTCTAACTTCGCCAGGGGGCAGAATCATTATCAGACATACCGTCCCCCCTAACTCTTCATCAGTTCTGACATCACTCCTTCCTACTGAGAGGCTTTTTACTTCACTCTGCTGAGGTCAGTACTTCGTTGGAGTTGCCACACAGAATTCTCAGACACATAGCATGGTTGTAGGGTTTATCAGGGAAGTCACAGCTTACATACAGGTTAGGAGACAGCCTCTCCTGAGCAGTGCCTGTTGGCAGGCCTCTCGCTGTGCCTCTGGGTCCCTTGGGTCCTTGAGCCTCTTGGTCTGGCCTAGCTGTGGCCCTGCTTGAACAAGTGTTATAAAGCTCTTTAGCAAGCCTGACCAAAGAGGCATAATTTTCTTGTTTCATGGACTGAGTAGCCCACTTTGCCATCTCCTGAGTCTCTTAGCTCTGCTTCTGCTACTGTCGTTTCTCTACTACTGCTTCTTGCTATCTCTTGCTGTCTCTACTGTCAGCAGCTCTCCATCCTCTGGGTTTAGAAGGTCCACAGGTCCAAAGGATATACACTGATCTCATGTCTTCTTGGTGGTAGTCAGGTCCCCCTATCCATGGCTCAGGTCAAGCCTAGTGGGATGACTAAACTGACAAGTCCCCCTGTTAGGGCTCCCTACATCATGGCCCCACCCTTGTCATATTCCTTGCATCTTATTTGCATTATTAGTAAACTATCCAATCCTCTTTGTGGGGCACAAGTACATTATTTGCATAGTCCTGCCCAATCTAGATAATAATTGGTGAGAATTATAAGGCCACAGCAAGAAAGGCCATGAATTAGTTAATCTAGCTCAGCAGCACAGTTTATCTCCTTGTGTATAGCTGCCTGGATTGTTTTTACCTTTTGACTTTTGTGAATATGTGTCAGTGAACATTGGGGTGCAAGTACTTGTTTGAATTCCTACTTTCAGGTCTTTTGGGTGTGAACCTAGGATTGGGATTGCTGGACGATGGGGGTAGTTTTATGTTTAGCTTTTTGAGGAAGTGCCCAGTTTCCACAGAGCCTGCATCATTTTTGTTTTCTGCCAAAATGCACAGGGTTCCATTTTCTCCATGTCTTCACTAGTACTTGATATTTTCAGGTCTTCTCCTACCATCCATGTTGGTAGACTTTATGACATCTCATCATGGCTTAGATTTGTATTCCCCTAAATTGAGTTTCTCTTCATGTGTTTATGGGCTAGTCATATGTCCCCTCTGGAAAAGTAGTTGGCATTTTTTAGTAACTTCTTTCCAGTTCTGTTCAGCCAGTGTTATTGAAGTCTAATTACCATAGAATCAAATTTAGCAGCTTTAAGTGTATGGCTCAGATGGTTTTGATAAATGTTTACACTCATGGAAGCTCAGCCACAGTTGGTCTGTTACATTCACATCAATCCAGAAAGTTCTCTCCCCAAGTGGCCATTGATCTGTTTCATGTCCCTGGAGTGCTTTTTGTTTGTTTTTAAAGAAAACTTTTATCTTATCCTGGTTTACTTACAAAGTTGTTAAAATACTTTTTCACACTTTATCTTTCCCATAAGTTTAGTTTATTTATTTTCCCCTAGAGTGTTTTGTTTTTAAAAAATATTTTTCTCTGTTTTCAGTGAATGTTTATGCAGAAAATGAGGCTCTCCTTGAACAGTTTTCGTGCACAAGGTCCTGTGCCTTTGGTGACAGTTTTACCTTATGCGCCGTTCTCGCTGGTTCCATCGTCTTTGTTCTAGTCTCATTGCTCCACCTTCCTTTCTCCTCCTTTCCTTCTTTTCTTTGATTATTGAATAAATTTTGACTGGTCCCTTGTAGCTATTGTTTAAGGGAGCACTTTATTCTGCTAGTGTCACTATCTATTTTATAATGTGATCTATCTTGGGCAGTAAAGTGGTTTATAGAAGTCACTTTAAGCCCATCCTGGAAGGTTTTTTTTGGGTGACTGTCTTGGGGGTTATTCTCACCTCTGCCAGTCCAGTTGTCGTTATTGTTGTTAGCTACTATTGAGTCATCTCCGGCTCCTAGCAACTCTCCACACAGCAGAGCAAAACATCGCTTGGACATTAGCCATTCCCACAGCCACAGCTGCACTTGAGCTCAGTGCAGCCCCCGTGCCAGCCCACCTTACTGAAAGTCTTCCTCTTTCTTCTGTCCCTCTATTTTCCAACCATGGTGTCCTTCTCCAGGGACCAGCCCTTCCTGATGGTGCCCAAAATAATGTGACGTGACACTCACCAACTCACCAGCCTCACATTCTAAGCAGTATTCTACTAAGATTTGTTTGATGGCATAGTCAATATTTTTTACCATCACCACAGCTCAGAGACATCAGTTCTTCTTCAGTCCTCATTTTTTATTTGTACACATTTCACTTGCTTGTGAAGCAACTGAAAATACCATGGCTTGGGTCAGGTGTACGCTAGTCTTCCAAGTACCATCCTAGGGAGCCAGAGCTGAATGCCTTCAGGCCAAAGCATTGATAGAGCCAGAAGTGGTGTAATTGCTAGAGCTGGAGGAGCTTTATAGCACTTGGCAGAGGAGGGAAGAGGTCAAGGTCGTGAAGCTGAGAGCCAGAGAGAGGCCTGACTGTGAACATGCCTGAAAAGAGGCTGTTCTGACTGATGCTATATCCTGAGTGTCTCTGAACTTCACACCTAACCAGTTACTTCGCTAATAAACCTTATAATATTGAGTGTTTTCTGTTGAGTTCTTTGTAGCTACAATGAATTTTTGTACCCAGCAGAAAAATAGAGAACATTAGAACTGTAGAAGGGAGAGCTCTGGAGATCTCGTGTGTAAAGTTGTGCTACCAGTTCAAAGACAGGTAGTTTGAATCCACCAGCTGCTCTGCAGGAGAAAGATGAGAAATCTCCTGTGTGATTTATAGTGTCTGAAAATTCACTGGAGGGTCTGCTGTGAGTCAGTTCTGACTCAATAGTACACAACAACCACAACAACACAAGAGGAATGATTAGAAATGGAATCGTTTGTAGAAGGTGTAAAGTATGGAGGCTTGTCTGGTCTCTTAGGAAATTGTGTTGCTGAGAGGAATTCTTCCTCCTTGTGAAGTTAGTAGAAGTCAGAGGCAGCTGCTCCCGTACCCACCACACTATTTTTAACATATCCATGATTTGTTATGATTCCCTAATTTGAAAGTCATTGCATAGTTAATAAAACACAGATGAGTGTCTCTCTGGTATTCTCTACTTTCAGCCAAGATCCATCTGAAGTCAGCAGTGATGTGCCTCATTCCACATTTACTTCTGTATTTGGCCTGCAGTTCTGGAAGTTCTCTGTTGACTTACTGCTTCAGCCATTTTTCAGTTATCTTCAGCATCTTTTCACTTGAATGGCTCTATCTCCTGACTCTGATGTGCTGGAGACAGAGAGTCGTGAAGAGTTCTGTAGCAGCACTGTTTGGGATGGCATGTCTTACTTACATTTTTTAATCCAAATACAAAGGAAATAAAATTAAAAACTCAACTTTCATGGGCAGACCAGCATCATCAAGCATCCGTTAGCCATGGTGGCACCTAGCTGCTCTCCTGAAGAGCACAGACATAGAGCTTGCCTGTCCTTCTAGAAAGTTCTTCAGAATAGTTCTGGGCTGAGCTGAAGCCTTGCCAGGGTCCCCTCTGGCTGCCTGTTTTTAATCTACTTTCAATTATTTAGAGCCAATAAGAGATTGTGGAATTAAATTTTGTTCTTTAGGGTACATTTTTTCACCTTTAAGTCATGTGAAAGGTGCATCCAATTGGCCCCACTGATGTTTTCTGAGAGCTGGCAGTAATTCTGAGACTGACTACAGAGGTCAGATGCGGAGGCAGACCACACTGGCTCAGCCACAGGTGTGATTGGTATTCTTCTGTGAGCTTAGTTTTCTTATCTATAAAATGAGGATAGTTATGAGATGGAGTGAGTAGACTCATCTCAGACTCCCCACAGTGGTGCCTAGAATGTTCCAAGTGCTTATACTGTGGTTGCTGTTGCTAGCTGCCATTGAGTTAGTTCCAACCCATAAGAACCTCATGCACAGCATAAAAGAGGGTTGCCCGCTCCTGTACCATGTTAGCATGTCCAAGTTCTCTGTGGGGACCACTGTGGATTTTGAGCATCTTTTCACCTGAGGTTTCATCTTCCAGTACTGTATCGGGCAGTTCTGTTGTAATGCATAGGGTTTTCACTGGCTAATTTTTGGAAGTAGATTTCTAGGTCTTCCTTTCCTAGCCTGTGTTGTCTACAAGCTCTGCTGAAACTTGCCCAGCGTGGCTGCTCCTGCTGGCATTGGAAACACCAGTGCTGTAGCTTCCACCATCACTGCAACACACAAGCCACCTCAGTGCAGCGAACTGACAGACAGCGGTGGAAGTGCTCGTGAGCACCAGCTCTTCCCAGTTGCGTGCTCTTACAGACGCGTGATCCACTGTGCTGGGGCTGTGTGGAGAGGTGAGCTTCTTGTGATCCCCATTTTCTCCTCCTTGTCTTTGAAGCTGCAGGCACCCCGGAGAGCAGCGCGCCAGTGGAAGCTGAGCCCAGCCAGTGGGTGTGCAAAGTGTGCACCGCCACATTCCTGGAACTGCAGCTCCTCAACGGTAATGGGGAGTGTGATCAGGCTGGCAAGCTTGATTTTATACAATGCTCTGCTTGGGCTCGCACTGACTTCCATAGTCTCTGTGGCGTGGCCCCCTTTGGAGGAGGGTAACACTCAAGGTCACCGTGCCCTTTTGAGCTTTGCCCAACCTCCACCCTATTGCCTGATTAGTCACCAGAACCAGCCTTTACAGGGTAAGTAGCTTTTCCTACCTCTGGAGTGGCAGGTCCCTCTCCTCTCCTTTATACCCCTGGCTCAGAGCTGACCAGCTAGACAAGGTGCCCTGGGCATGAAATGAGGGTTTGCAGACAGACATAAGGAGCCAACCACAGCATAGCCTGGTTTGCATCTTTTGCCTTTTTTTCCCTTCTCCTTTTTTTCTTCTGTGCTTGACTCTTCCTCCCACATATTCTGACTTCAGCCCACGGTTTCTTAATCAGCAGCACATTTTTATTGATTTGATTTAAGGTGTTTGGGAAGAACCCGAATTAACCATCAAGTTATGCAAAGCCCTGGTCACTTACTGTGTCATTTTCTTGTGGAGTGATGTTTTTCCCTTCCTGTTACACAGCTGATACATGGTAATGACCTTAGTAAAATAAAACATGGGAGACATCATATTTCAGTACAGCTTGTGGCCTTTCAGAGTGTGTAGCACGTGCTGAGCTTCAAATGGTAATTCAGTTGGTGCAGTTGTGGGGGTGTGGCACTACCTAGAACCTCAGAATGACTTTGTTTTGAAATAAAGTCTGCACAAATGTAATTAGTTAAGATGAGTTAATACTGAATTAGAGTAGAGTCTTAAATTTAGTGACTGGTTTCTTTTTTTTTTTTTAAATTTAGGTTGTTTATTTTTCATTTCAATGAACATCTACAGAGATTTTGGAATTCCATTCATTCATTGTTGTACCCTTCTCCCCGCACAAACCTCCCCCCCCCGTTTGCTCCTCTCCTTGAAAAGCAAAAGAAAAACTCCCTCATTGGTACACAATCCCCCCCGCACCTTCCCAAACCCCACCCCCTACCCCCAAATATAATCCACTCTGCAACCCTCATTGCATACTCCTACGATAAAAATAATGCCCTAAAATATAATACTTTTAGGCTATTCTCTCCCCCATAGACTTCAATGCCGTGAACATATTTCATCCAGTTTTTCTTATAAGAAGAAAGTAGGCATGCAGAGAAGATGATCATGTGGTCATTGATGCAGGAATGAGAGATGCTGCCACACACCAGGGAATGCTGGGAGCCAGCCAAAGAGAAGACAGACAAGGACAGTCTTTTTCTGTAACCTCAAAGAGAGTATGACCCTGATGACACCTTGACTTGTGACTCCATGACTCCTGTGTTGTAAAAGAATCCATTTTCTTTGTTTGAAGCCATTCACAAGAGACTCCTACAGAGGGCGTTCAGCTAGAGATGCAGGGCCCAGCTTCAAGTTCATCATCAGGTTGGCTACTGGAATCTTCAGGAACCTATAAAAATGTTTTTCCAGGCCAGGCAAATTTTAACAACAGGACGGTTAATGTGAAGTCATAGTTCCAGAGCAGACTGTTCAAAAGCTTTGAGACAGCTGCCAGCAAGCATCTGATTCCAGCTCCGGCTCAAATTCACAGGATGTCCTATCAGTCCTGGCTGTGATACATTTGCTGACATAGAATTTGTCCTTAGCCTGGCGAGAAATGTCTCCTATTTATCACCTGTACATAAATAGCACAGCGGCTGCCAGGTTCTCTAGGAGCATGGTGTTTGAGATCAGACAGGTTCCTAGAAGCACATGAGGTCCAGATAGAGGGGTGGCCCAGGAAAGGCCATTTCACGAGACCTAGAACCACAGAGAAGAAAGGTTTTCTGTTCCTTTTTACACTCTTCCCCTAGTGACTAGAGATAAGTGTTTCAAGTGAAGAAGCAGCATTTTCTTCACATTAGCAGAAGGTCATTTCTAGTCATTCCAGAAAGGCAGTTCGTTCTGACACTTCTTGTATTAGAGGTTGATGCTCACAGAGACTGACTCATTGCTGGAATCTGTTCTCAGCACATACGTGTAGTCATTTAGCCTGTTTACAAAATACCCCTTTGATACCACTGTTACTCTCACAGTAGACTGAGGTGAGAGCTAGTCACTGACCGCCCACAGTCACACAGCTAGTTACACACTGGAATCTAGAGCCCTACTTTTGCCCCAGTGGGAGGTAGACTCCATTGTGTGGTGCCAGCAGCTCGCTGCCAGCCTCTATCTGGGAATTGTGTCATAATCCGATGGTCAAGGAGCAGAGGAATGGGGGGCAAAACTGGGCAGAAGAGGAGGAATGCAAGAGCAGGATCTGGGTGATTGTCCTGTGGACCCCGTGTGTGTGTGTGTGTGTGTGTGGTCAGCTAACTGGCTTCGAGGCAGCCCCAAAGCTGCTTGGAGTGAGGTTTCAGAAAATAGTTCGCTTTGTCAATATTACATTGTTTTAATAGGAAGTGGGGTGAAATGAGTGTGATCATTATGTTACCCTCTTCCTTTCATTCTTCAGAATAAAAGCAGTATGAGGAAAACACTAGTCTGGCTATGTCTGAAATTGCCTTTTTTGAGGCAGTATGTGAGAGATTTGCCTGATTCAAGAAGACTTGGTTTTATAGTATCAGGATCAAACTTGCCACTTATGTGCTTTTTAAAGGCCCGCTTACTTCCATATCACTGCTTTAAATATGGAATATTTTACAATAACAGATTAGTTTCTTTTTTATGCTTCATTTATTATACTTTATATTTTGGAGTTAGAAGATGCTCAACTTCAGGCAACTAGAGATTGACTCAGGCAAAGGTTTAAAATTTGAAAGACAAAACCATTTTAAAAAACGAGAGCATGAGAAGATGAAGCTTGTTGCACCCTTCAGAGCACAAGAACACGGGAGATACTACTTTCTCATCCCTCAGGGCAATGCCCTCTTCTCCCCTTGGGGAGGCCTCCTCATAAATCTCCCTCAGAAGTCCCAGATGAGGGGCTTCTGGTTAGAACATGGGCATCAAGTATGTGCATAGACCTTAATGCCTTTCTGGAATGCCACTAAAACAACAATAGCAAATCTGCTAAAATGCCAATAACATAAGAATGGGGATGCACAGAACAGCAGGCAGCCTTGGACATTGGAAAAGACTTGGACAAAGGATAACTACTAAGTAGTCATGCTCTAAAACTTGTAGTTAAGTTGGAACCAACTCATAGCTGACCTTTAACTGGTTTCTGAGGCTGTAAATCACACAGGAGAAGATTGTCCATCTTTCTCCCTCCACGTTACTTGTGATTCAAACCTTCCGAGAGGCACAAGCTTTGGGTTAGTGGTGTAACTCACCGTGGATCGGCCACCAGAGCCTCTCACTGAGTACTGAAGAGGAGTTGAAACCAGGGATGAAGAAATCCAAGAAGCAAGTCAGTTTCTGCTGCAGAGTGCCAGGAGGCAGTAGACCGCTGGGTTCCCTGGCCTGTTCTTCTCAATTATATATCTCCTCTTTCAGCCCAGCAGACTCTGGGCTCATCCACTAAAACAATTAACAGACTCATGATGGACACCAGGCAAGGGACACCAGGAGGAACCAGGACCTAAGGAATTCTAAAATGTGGAGCCCTTAAGTCCCCCTTCTCCTGATTTCCTTCCACAACAGGAGCCAGATTTATAATTCTGGGAGAGACTGTGGAATTTCTTTGGATAAACTGATCAGTCTAAGAGAAAAGACTAAGGAGTACAGCAGGCTGGGGACTATCAATAAAAACCACTCACCCTCACATCATCCAGCAGGGAAGTACCTTGGCGCCTGGTGAAACCTTTAGTGTGAATGTTGTTCTACACAGGATCAGTAGCACTGCAAGAAATAAGTTCTCTCATATGAGAGAGACCAACACAACCAGGAACTACAACAATGAGGAAAAAATTTGCATTGAGAAAGCATGGTAAATTTAGGTAGAGGAGAAACATAGAAACCAAATATGAAAGTATGATATTTAGATTGTTAATGTTATGTGCTGTCAAATTTACTCAAACTCATAGGGACCTCTCCAGTACTGAAGAGCAATGATGTCAGTCTGGAGACTAAGGTGTGCTTCATCTCGGCTGTGATCTTCTCATTTACTTGCTGTGCATCTTAGAGTTGGACAATGACTAAGGATGATAGAAGAAGAATTTATGCTTTTGAACTATGATGCTGAAGAAGAGTATTGAATATACCATGGACTGCTAAGAGAACAAACAGTTCTGTCCTGGAGAGGGTGAAACCAGACTGCTCCTTGGAAGCAAGATTTTGAAGCTCTGTCTGATATACTTTGAACATGTTGCAACAAGGGACCATCCTTGGAGAGGGGCATCATACTTGGGAGAGTGGAGGGACAGTACAAGAGAGGAGGATCCTGGATGAGATGGATTGACTCAGTAATAGGGGTAGGTGTGTCAGAGATAATGAAATTGGCTCATGATAGAGGAGGGTTTAGAGCTCTTGTACATGGAGTTGCTGTGAATTGGAGTAGACTCAACACCACATAACAGCAACAAAAACAAAGCAACTTATGCATAACAGATTAAAATGTTGCCCTATCCTACGGCATCCTCACAGTCTCTGCCATGCTCAACGCTGTTGTTGGAGTCACTGCATGAATCAGTTCTGTTGAGAATCTTCCTCTCTTTTGCCAACCCTCTACGTCAATGCCCTTATCTAGGTATTGTCCCCCTCCTGGTAACATGCCCAGAAAATATGAGACCAAGTCTTAGCATCTTTGCTTCTAAAGAGCACTCTCACTCCATTTTGAGAAGATATTACATTCTTGATTTGCATCTTTCTTAGAGCTAGGGATTTTGAACATTTCTTCATGTGCTTGTTCGCCATCTGAATATCTTCTTCAGTGAAGTGTTTGTTCATATCCTGAGCCCATTTTGTGACTGGGTTGTTTATCTTTTTAAGGTGCTGGAGTATTTGATAAATTTTTAGATATAAGTTTCTTATCTGATATGTCATTACCAAAT